CCTAGGAAGCTGGAAGTCTGAGCCTTTGACAATCTACAGGTGCGAACTGTCAAAGAACTGATTTTTCAAAGAAACGGATATCAAAACCAACTACTAACGTTATCCTAGCCGACCACTGTCGATCTAGTTTTTGAGGACGTCTAGGCGTTACGTTTGTTCGTCACCAGCAGGTCGAAGCCGATCAAGATCGAGCCAAAACGGAGTGAGGCTGTCAAGGAATCAAGAAGGCTTCCCAAGGCTGTCGCCCGCGGCGAGGAAACGTGTATGTGATGGTTGGAGGGAAAGAATACAGAACAGCTTCATGCGAACATTGTTCTCGTGAACCAAGTTTAACCTCCTCGATCGCAAACGGGTCATGTGTTCTCCACATCCGGAGCACACGGTGGTCCGGTTCTTCTCATCCTTTCTTTCACAAGCCCTCTGATATATCAGATTAAGGATTGCAGTATCCCAGAGGACCCCTCATCATTCATGCTTCCCCCTTGGGCTCAGCCTAGAATTTCCTTCTTCATAAATTTCACTCTTATTGTGGGAGTTGTGGAAATAGAATTTCTCCGAACGGTCAATCAACTGACCTAGCGCTCGCTAATGGACCGGGACACCGTATGGTTCTAAGCGATTTTATCACACGCAAGCCACCCGCGGACAGCTGGCGGTGCACATCAATCGTCATATGTCCTTCACACACATATTACACCGTTTTCCGTGAAATTAGGTGCCGTGACACCAGATAAACAAACATATATACATCATCATGAAGGCAGTTCCCACTCGATCTTGAAATAAAAATATCACAAATTTCGAGATATCATCGATGAAAACCGCTAGGCCATCTCCTCCATCACGGTCACATAGGCCTCCTCTGCATTCAGCTTGCGCTCATAAGAGCGCCGACCCTCGTGTAAGACGAGACTTAGCGCCGCAAGTGACAGAATCACAGAAAGATCTGTTGGGCTCAACGCTGCCGTCTGGAAGATGCGTTGCATAAACGGCACATAGACGAGCGCAAGCTGCGTCAGCGCCGACACCGACACTGTGCCCACCAGCATCTTATTCTGGAACAAGCCGCACCCGAGCCCGCGGTTCTGTACCGCCGAGACGAGGTCCAAGAAGACGAAGCATGTAAATGTCTGATTGCAAGGAAGGAAAGAAGTCGTCAGTTCCAGTCATGAAGACAGGGAAAATGATGAATAGACAAAACCACATGCGAACGGAGGAAGAAAGGAGACCGGCGCATAAATGAACGAACACCGCAAATCACGGGTAACTTTCCCCCCCCCCCTTTGGAACAGAAGAAAAAGAGAAAAGAATTAGAAAAAGAGTCCCAACTCACCATCGTCTGCTCGCGCCGCGACATATGGTCGTCGTCCAGAGCGAACACGTAAACAAACAGTGTCCCAATGACGATAATCGAAGCGGAGAACAGAACACGCAAGAGCAGCCGCTTCGTAATAATCGGAGCGTTCTTCTTGCGTGGCGGACGTCTCATGATAGCTGGGTCCACGGGGTCTACACCGAGACTCTGACTAGGAGGGCCTAGGAATACGAATACGAGTGAGCTTAAAAAAAAAAACTCCAAGCCCAAGGTCTCGCCGCGGAGCAAAAGAACGCACCGTCCATGAGAATATTGATGAAGAGGATTTGCATGGCATTTAGGGGGTTGCTGAGTCCCAGCATTGTGCTGAGTGTGATCAGCGTTAGTGCGGCTGCAGCCGTGCTCAGCTGGAACGACAGAAAGTTTTGGATGTTATGGAAGATTGATTTGCCTAGTCCGAGGAAGCAGAAGAAACATAACATCAGAATACAGACACACAACGAGACGTGTCCGACGCAAAAAAAATACTCGCCTTCTTCAACTGCAGGAAGAATGGTGCTAAAGTTATCATCGACCAGAATCACATCCGCAGCCTCCTTCGCGACGTCCGTACCGCTTTTACCCATCGACACTCCAATATCAGCCATCTTCAGCGCAGGCGCATCGTTCACTAGACATCCTCAAACTCCCTCGCACCAACGAAAACGAGAAAAACACGCACCTCCATCGCCCGTCATCGCCACCACCTGCCCCCTCTCCTGAAACGCCTCAACAATCGCCATCTTATGCCTCGGCGTCGTCCTCGCAAACACACTAACACTCCCCACCCTCTCCTTCAACTGCCCCTTCGTCATCTGATCAATCGCCTTCCCCGTCAAACAGCTCTTCGCCCCCGCCTCCCGACGCCCAACACGCATCCCAAGCTTCTGCGCAATCGACAAAGCAGTCTCCTCAGAGTCCCCAGTGATCATGACAACCTGTACCCCGCCGCTCTGAAGAAGCGCGATCGAGTCCGCGACGCCTTTCCGGGGCGGATCAAGCATCGCTTGGAAACCCGCAAAAACGAGGTTGGATTTCTCCGGCTGGCCGTTCGGTGCTCGGGCGGGCGATACGCCGCGCGAGGTGGTGGTGCGTGAAGGAGGCCGATCGTCGATGCTGCTGAAACCGTAGGCCATAGCGAGCACGCGCAGCCCGCGCGAAGCGGTCGCTTGGGCTTTGTTGAGGATCACGTTGCGCGTGTTCGTGTCTAGTCCTGGTGTGGACTCGTCGTTGACATAGTAGAATTTACATCGGTCGAGGACGGCTTCGATGGATCCCTTGATGTAGTACATCTCCCTCCCCGCGCCGTTGACACCGAGCGAGCCTATGGCGTTCACTGCGTTTTCGCGATGGTACCCAGACACGGCCATGTATTTCTGTTCCGAGTTGAAAGGGCGTTCATAGACTCGCTCAAAGTGCTGTTGGAGGAGGTTTTTAATACAAACTTTTGATGTGTAAGAAGAGGGTAAACGACATACCGGCCGACGGTCTGGAAGCCCAAACACGCCCAGAACGTGGAGAAGTGCGACGTCCGTTGACTGTCCTACAAACTGTCCATCCTCATTGCGTACGAGCGAGGCATTGTTGCAGATTGCACCAATGTCCAGGGTCTTTCTGAGCGCAGGCGAGATCGGTGCTGGATATGTCGTAGAGTTGGGGTCAAGAGTGATAGTCTCATCGACTGTATAAGCCTCTGTGACCGTCTGATCATTCTTCGTCAATGTTCCTAAATCACCGTTCAGCATATATTGACGCCCTTGAGGCGATATTCTTTATATAACGCACCTGTTTTATCAGAACAAATGACCGACACGGATCCAAGTGATTCAACGGAATGCAACTTTTTAACAATCGCTTTCCGTTTCGCCATCCGCAACACTCCAAGCGCGAGAGTGACTGTTGTCACGATCGGCAAACCTTCAGGAATAGCGGCGACAGCCAATGACACTGACAATGAATGAGCGAAAAGTGATAAAGTAAGCGGGTTGACGTGCCTCCGATAGTAAACATCTCCAGCCACGACCGACGCTGTAGCACGCCAATCAGACAAATGATGCCAATGGCACCAAATGACATGAACGAGAGCTTCTTCGCCAGCTCATCCATGCTAAGCTGCAACGGCGTACGCTTCTCCTCGACCTGCACCACGCCGCTGTATGAGGCTTGTACTCGAAAAATCAACATTGACATTCACACATACATCCTGCATCATCGAAAAGATCACGCCAAATTCAGTCGCACTTCCCGTTGCTATGACCACTCCAGAACCACGGCCTGATAAGGCGGGAATATAAGGCCATGAATGAAGTGGGTTCAGAAACTTTGATATAACGTACCATTTCTAACCAAAGTTCCCATATAAGCGATACACGTTCGATCGGCGAGCGCAACGGGATCGCTCGTCGCGCGTCCCTGGGACATGTCATACTGACACGTCTCTTCGCTCTTCCTCCGTGCCTCTGTCTCTCCCGTTAGACTGCTCTCGTCGATCTCTAGGTCTATTGAAGACACGATACGGATGTCGGCGGGTACACGGTCGCCCGTGGAGAATGTGACAATGTCGCCGGGGACAAGCTCGTTCGCGAGGACGTGTTTGGTCTCGCCTTGGCGGACGACGTGACAGTGGTGCGGGACTAGTTTGTTGAGTGCTTCTAGTGACTTTTCTGAACGTCTTTCTTGGATAAATCCAACTAGGAACGCGTCGTGAGGAGAGTTGAAACGAAGAGAAGAGAATCGTGCTCACCGGTTAATACAATTAGTACAGCGACAGTGATACTAACTGCATCATCTATATTTCCCATGATGGCGCTAACAGACGCGCTCCCACAAAGTAGGAGAATCAAGGGACTCTCGTAAATAGTTTTTGCGAATTTTAGGAGAAGGGGTTCCGGAGTGGATACTGAGAATTCGTTGTAACCATGTGTAGCGTGAAGATTTGGAATGTCCCGTTGTAAGAGGCCGCGTTCCGCGGACGTACGAAAGTGTGCAATGGTATCCTTGAGAAAAGTGAGCTTGATATGGATATGCAAGATGGAAAAGAGGTTACGCACTTGAAGAGAGGTATGTGCAAATTGAGCAGAAGCGGTTATTGTCGAGGAATCTCCTCGTGCGGGGGGTGTAACGCGTCCATTCTCCACTACAAGCTCGTAATCAGGCTGACGACCCGTCACGGACGCAAGGACCCTCGACCAGAGAGTTTGTGCCTCTGCATTGACGGCTTGTGCGATATGAGTAGGGGATGTGAGTGCTGCAGCCTCTGCAGGATGTCTGCGCAGAGTTGTGCTGTACGCAAAGTGGGCCTCTGCATCGGGAACGGGGCGTAGTCGTGCACCAGTCTCGGCGGAGAGGAGGGGGAAGTAGGCGGATGCAGGTGGTGACGGGCTTCTTGTGGGCTGGTAGCGGTGAGCTGCAGAGGAGCTGGCAGCCATTGAATCAATTGGCAAGACGGACGGCACTCGCTTTTTGCGTTCGCCCATTCGGTTGAGATCAACACGTCGTAATAAAACACGTTATGGACATCAACACTAAATATGATCTCATCTCTCAGCACACAAGGCCGGCGTGGAAGCCGGAGGCACGTCTCTTTTCTTTTCATGGAAACTCGAACAAAACAAAATTCCATACAATGTGGAATCGATAGCTCTCATGGACACACCCGGAATTGAACCGGGCACCGCCCGCAGACATTGAAATGCTAAGCGGGCGTGATAACCAACTACACCATGTGCCCGTGGCTACTTCTAAAAATGGGAGTGACGCGATGTATCCAAGATAGGAGCACTAGAAGTGACGGAAACTCGCTAGATAATGGCTTTTATTAGAACGAACATTGTCTCGCAAAGGAACTGAAGAAACCGTAAGGGACATGAGCTACACGCGATGTGCCTATTTAGACTACGACGCTGCCCAAGGGCTAGGTGGCGGGTCAACTGGACAATCAGAGTTCCAAGTACAGCAGCTTTACATATCGAGCTCTACCCGCCACAGGGATTGCATTCTGCCTCAAGAACAAATGGGCATCAGAGCGAGCCGATCAATCCCGAATTCAAATCTTCAAACTCAGACGAAGAGGTCGGTACACATTCTTACACAGCGCCTTTTAATGGACAACCGACGCGTCCAAATGACTAGTGACATTTATTCTCTTTATTTCTTGGGGAAGGATCCAGTACGCCGCCAGAGACGACGGACAAAACTCATGACTTCAGGTCGACATCATCCGTGAAGAGTAAGTGAGTGACCATTCGTATCTCGTGCTCGTCCGGCATCGAATGGTGCTCCATCCGGGCCTTTAGTTTATCCTCAACTACGTCTTATCGTTCGCTGATATAGCTAGTTTCCACACGCAGAAGGCTATCGATGGACCAATGTTCACACTTCATGTAGAAACTCTTATAGAAGATACCTCCCCAACACTCATTGCTTGTACGATGTCCACTTCCACTAAACTATTGCTTGGTTCGTTACTTGTCCTTTTCCATGGGACCAGCTCAGAAGGTTATCGATATCCCTCAGTTTCAAGAACAACACACATGCTCTAGACCAATGTTGGATCTCATAAAAGCTACCCTTGCTCTCTTTTACCAGCACTGTGTGCTTGTACAATGCTCACGAAGCAATTACTTTGCCGAAGATTCATGAGAGCCATACTTCGTTTTCCACCAGTCACTTTGTCCCCTCCGCTTCCTTCTGGAAAAGAGCCATCTTGTCATCGATTTGGACGCGTGATTTCGGTCAAAGCCCTTTTCCTCCATTACATGTTATCAAGTCCTATAAAGAATGGTTGAACTATGCAGAGTTACTCTGCAATGACCTGGCTTCAAAGTCCTGTTTCGTCTGCTTCTTCTGATGGGCGCACTTTTCGTGGCGCTCTGAGTCTTGTCTCGCCTGCAAGGTCCGTCGTAACCTTTGTAAACACCCCCAGGTCTTTCACGAAAAAGATTACCCAGCGCCGCATTAGTCCTCTTCACAATTCTTTCACTCTTAATAACGCGCCGCCTGATATCTCTTCATCTTAACAGACCCTCGATCCATCAAACAATTCCAGCAATACACCATCTTTTAAATCCTCTAAATGCAAATAGCCCCGATCTTCTTACGTCTCGCGCCCTCCCCAACTTACGATTGGTCAGAGCCTTTGCTCTGACTAATACTTTTGTTTCTTGTGACATCGGTGTCCATGCAGCCTTTATTGGTCGCGCAATGTCTCTCCTCAAAGCCGCCACCGAGCGTGGATGGACCCACTTCCAAAACATCGTCATCGATTCTATAGAGGAAGCTCTACCTCATGCCAACGCAAAGGATTTCGACACCTTCGTCCAAGACGTGACGATGCGCGTTGCTCTCGTCGCAATTCTGGACATTGATGTATCAGCAACGGAGCTCGACTCGGAGGACATCCGTGTCGTATCTACACTCATCACGCTGCTGTGGTCACTCTCAAAGCATCCTGACCCGATCCCCGCAGACCTTCTACCCCGACTAAATCATCATTTGCGCCGCCTCATCCCTGACGCAACCGCATATCCGAACCCTCTCGATTTCGTCATTCCAGTATGGGAAACAACCTGGCGCGTAGTCGCTGCTTCCGTCGCTTATGCGCATCATTCCTCGTATGCTGACGGTATATTCTCCAAACTCCACGCCTCTCCAACGATGGACCAGTTTCGTCATTCTGATGGCACCCACCCCTCAGTCGAGTGGTTTATAACAGAAGTCATGCGTCTCCATCCTCCATCCCAACATATTGATCGTATCTCCCCATTCCATCCTTTCCCCACTTTTCTCCCTCTCAGTCTCAGAAAACTAACCACGAAGCTTTTCGGCCCTCTTCTTCGTCGCGAATGTGCAGATATAGGAAGCGTCCTCAGATCTAAATGTATCTGGGGAATGGACGCAGACAAATTCGATCCATTGCGATTCCACTGCAATCGAGTGACTCGGGAGCAAGAGGTTATCAAGTCGTTGCCCTTTGGTTGGGGCCGCTTCAAGTGTGTTGCAGCTGGCTGGGCTCCTATGGCCGCAGGGATCATCTCAGCAGCTATCCTCGATCGCGTACAAACAGGATCGGATTTTCGTCTTGTGGCAGGGAATTGTATTGGGGGACGAGAGGGATGGAATGGATGGTTGGTCGTAGCTGTGGATGGTGCTCAATTATAATTGACTATCATAAATATGCCCGTGTACCATTGAACAATGAATCACAACGGAAAAGATTGACGAATGAAATTCAGAGGTACCCCTGCGGGTGAGAGACGCCAAGTGCTCGACACCTTTGCTTACGCGCAATGTCAATAGCCGTCCTGATCTTGGGTTAGGGGTTAGTAGGACCCACTGAGGTGCCACATCTTGTCCTGTTCTGTCCGCATGACATAGATAGGAAGGTTAAACTCACATTGTTTTTCATAGACAGTCGGTGTGATGGTCCTCAGGGGTCCACCTGTACGCGTCCTCGAGCAACCTGCCAACGAGTGCCAAAAAAGAAAAAAAAGTTTTGGTGGCAGAATTGACAGAGAAGCCGTGTTACGTCAAGAGTCCCAGGGCCCGGCCGCTTAGAATTCGCGGATTCTTGATTTCATGTCTTAGCTTCGCAGACTACGTCATCTTTGGATGGACTTTTTTTGACGTACTCAGAGTACATAGGCGTGAGTTAGATCATCGATGCCCTTTCGAACTTATGCAAGGGGTAAAAATGATGAGACAGAGCTACCACTTGGAATTGTAAGAACGACAGTAGCGGGTTAGCGGGAAATGTGAGGCATCGTGACCGCTCGCATTTGGCAACCAGAACTCCAACAGCTCTAATGCGTAGAGTGTCAGCAGGTATTAGCAATCGAGTCTACACGCCACAGGGATTGATACGGCGGTTGTTTAGTGATTCCATACTCTGCTTAAGGAACATAACCACCACTTGAAGAACCACTTGAGGAAATGCAACGGAAGCCCAGGCCATCGAAGATCTAAAGTTTAGACAGACCAACTCATGAGAAGTTGATACAAGTTATCCAAGTAGAGATTTCGAGAGACTCCGAGTCCATGGCAAAGGCCAAGTACATGACCATGGACCATTGTTATACCACTCTCATGGCAGGACGGTCCGACGACTGGCTAGCGAAAGTCCAAACTTGGCAAGTCAGGAGGTAGTAGCTGATCCTCACTTCCTTCAGAATCCAATCGAGGTAACCGAATCGTTACTGTCGTATAATGAGCTCGAAGCGTCCATTGAAATGACTGCACTTGAGTTCCGAGTCATCTGATGGTAGTGATTCAGATGTGACATGTCGTGACACAACAATTCAAACTCAGATGTACTACAAGCCAGATCGTCACTTTCTAAACACTTGCAGTCGCAAAAGGCCAATACGTTGGACACCAATACGCTGGCATGGGGTGTGTACTGAATGCGGAGAACTACAAACGATATCTTTCTATGTAAAAGGCAACTGATGCGTGCAAATGGTGTTAATGAGGTACATTCACTTTCTTTGCTTCTTTTGTCGTTGACTGTTGAGGTTCGCCAAGAGACCTATGTTTTTATCATCTGACCGCGACAACTGGACTTTTACCGATAGATATGGATTGAGATTGTGTTACAAGAGCAGGTGAGAGACCATTCGTATCTTGTGTGTGTTGAATGGTGCTCCCCCGGGCTTTTGGTTCATCCTTCCATTTAATTTTGTTATCGCAACAACTTCTCTTCCATAACTATGCGTTGTCGTTATCTCCTCGTTTCCACGCGCCAACTCAGAAGGTTACTGACATCCCTCGTTTTCAAAATGGACAAAACATCCGGACCAACGCTTGGGGGCTGATAGAAGCTACCTTCCTTTCTCTCTTTTGCCAAACCGGTTGTTGTACAATGCTCACTCGTACACAACTATTGTGGTTTTGACAGTACCCGTCCACTTGAAGCCTCTTTCCAGATGGAGGCATCATATCGATTTAGACGCACCACTTTGGAGGAATGTTCATTTCCTCCATTGCATTAGTTTCAGTGCTATAAAGCATGGCCGATTTCTGCTGTGCTCTGTAGGCTACCCTGCAATGGTTTGGCTTCTTCGAAGCATCGTTTTGTCCGCTTCTTGTGGTTTGTTCGCCTCCCGTGGCGCCCTGGGCCTCGTCTTTGGGCCTGTTGGTACAGACTCACCTGCACCCGCTGGAGGATCTATCGCCAATGACGCGCCCCCTAACTCGTTCTTCCAAGACTTCTCTCCTCCGTTCCCCACAAATGATTGGTGGGTTGGCTTCGGTGCCGGCGACGGCAACGCGTGAGTTGCATTTCATTGATCATCATCATGAAGAAATTGATGTTCATGTCTCGTTTCTGCCATGCAGTGTCGTTGCCGGGCCGTTCCCTTATCAGAGCCATTTAGGCCCTACTGATCTGCAGTTTGGTGTATCAACCTCTCGAAACTTTGATGGGGTGTCCATCCATCAGCCAACACAGACTGACTGGTCTGTTGGTTTTGTTGAGCATGACGGCAATGTCCAAAACCGCAAGGCTTTGTCTTGGGTAAGGTCTAGTGTTTACTTCTGTCTCCAACCGATCTGATCAATTTATAAGGATTCTCAATCGGTCACGGTACAATACTTCACGGGGTCAAGCACGATGACGAGCTACCTCGTACCAGGATCTCCATACCTCACTTTCTCTTACTCAAGAGCGACGCCAAAGCTCACTAGTGCCAATGGCGCCATCACATTTTTCGCTGGCAACACGCTCGACAGTGG